AATATCAGCAATTTTTAAAGAAAATTTTCAGGGGTGTCAAGACTGCCATTAAAAAAATGAGATCCATTACTAAAAGATATCTTATGTACTCAACATGTTGATGAAATCTGGACTTACACGTATCTGAATGAGAAAATTTATTGAATTTTGTCAAGTGCACCTCCCCGTCCAGATTTTTTCTTTACTTTTGATCTCTTCAGATTTCCTCCGTCTCCTCCTAGGCTACAATGTTTAGGTCCTAGACATCACGTGACGTGTCCGAGAAGGACGAAACAGCTGTAGGATGCATTTTAATTCATTATCTGCTGCATTCTATTCTCAATTTGTATTGATAGGTGTTTTTCACTTTTTGTGTTTTTTGCAATCTTGGGGTCAAATAAGAACTTATGTCAAGGACAAATGTTATAAACTTTAAAAAGAGCCGATAACAACTTGATATTGCAAAAAAATGATATTACTAGACGTTTTGCTTAAACCTAGAATTAGTATTTATTTATTGATAATGGTAATTATCAAAATCATAAAACCATCTTATAATAATGTATGGTGAATTACGTAGTTGTAGAGGGCAATAGAAATTGATTTTGTCGATTTCCGGGTTTTTATTTTTTTCCGGAAATACATTCAGTTATATGTAAACTTGTAGTAATAAAATCTATATCCATTTTTCTCTCCAGATAATAGTGAAATAATTTCAATCTTAGTTAAATTATTTTAAATCTTAAAGGAAGAGTCTCACGTAAATCTAATAGTCTTATTGTTTCATTATCTCACGTGATATTTTTTATAAACTTATGATCCCTGTGATATTCACAAAAACAAAAACAAAAAAATAAATAAATAACATCCGCGATCCCTTTAACTTTACTGACTCGGAACATGAAGCTCACGGAAACGTTATTCTATTTAGGAGATGGCTTGGAGACAAGTAGGTCATTTAATTGAATATTGAGAATGCCCCAACAGTACTATTCAAAGGTAGCGATGACCAAAACTAACTCTTTATAGAACAAACCAACCGTATCATTTCGGTATCGTATCGCTTTCTTCTGTATAAAATCAAGATAGAGCCTATTGGATTAAAATTGTGTTTCCCGTTCAGTTAATGGGTAATAGTTCAATCTATGTGTATTACTGCATTATCTTTTGATCTATAAAACCTGGTGTACTTTTTCACAATTGAGTTCAATGTAAACTTCAAATAAAGCCAAGTATCACAATAAATATTGAATACTATTGCCCCCAAATGTTGGCTTTAACACGGTGAAGGTGTTGCGTAAGGGGAACAAACTTGTACAATTAACCATCAGGAGAAAACGGTGATCCCGGAAGTTATGATAAGTTTAATAACACACGCTATTTAATTCGTAAAAAAAGGACATATGGTTTTGTCTACTGAAGACTTTTATACGATCAAATTAGAATATAGTAAATAAACACTGTAATACATTTCCGATGGTCAAAGTGACGAAACACAGTAATAAAATCAATGACGTCACATCTAAAAGACGTACGACTTCGAACTAAGAAGTCTCACTGGCGTCATGTTGAAAACAAAGATATGAGAATGAGATATTGAGGAAATTCTTTACCTGGAGTTTAAGGCCATATATAACGTTGTATATTTCTCTCTCAGGGAGAAAAAAATATTTACTTGCTGACAAATCCGCTCTCCTTTTGTTCCAACTACACATCAATTGTAAGGTTTCATCCTCGGTATATTTCCACTTGGTTTTTGAACGTTTACAATATTTAACGGTTCAGAGAGAACGACGGAGCAGGACCCTAGTATCTGTACCACTACATTCACTATATATATAAACAATTACACGGGTCACTGATTACATATCGTTTTGAACTACATTATTTACGTTATCCGAATGTTCAGGCAATAACAATCACATTCTGTCTCTGGATCAACAGGTCACGAGCCTTTAAAAAGGAGCTACACCAACCATACATGTTGGATTCATATTCTAAGTTTGTGTACATCCTTTGTAATAGATATGATATCGTATGTAATACATATATATACCTCATATACTATATATCTTTATAATAAATTTCTACTATCTATATTGTGTATCTCAAGCAGATTAAGATTACAAAGGGATCGTTCGTACAACCTTGTATGATCCACATTTAATCTCTCTCATTGAATCTTCTCCCTTCTTGTTCCTCTTATTTGCTCTTAAATACGTGTTGTTTGAGAATACCTGTCGAGAAATAGTGATAGCCTAATAGTATTTAATTGTTATATCCCAAATTGTTGCCAGTCAGCCATGTTATTATTTTCATAAGTTCTAAAGTGAACAATGAACGAGATGGCTTGGAGACAAGTAGGTCATTTAATTAAATATTGAGAATGAACCATACAGTACTATTCATAGGTCGCGATAACCAAAACTCACTGTCAACATCGAAAGTGGCCGCCTGTCTTCCTCTTGTTTTTCTGTATTCATCTCAAAATTGACGAACAAAATAAATAAATAGCTAAATGAAAAAGAACAAAAACAAAACAAGGAAAATCCGAAACCTTTATCTGATATCCGAGACTGATTTATAATGGAACATGTTGACTCCCCTTTGTCCTTGGTTTTGCTCGGAAAATCTAAGTGGTCGACAGGTGGCCGTATTGTACTTCGAAAGCTCAGCTATCGCTATTCTTGAGAAGTACAGGCAGGATATTTCGGAAATTTCAGATATCTACTCCATCTGTCCCTAGCTATACTCCTTCTATCACTAGCTATACTCCTTCTGTCCCTAGCTATACCCCTTCTGTCTCTAGCTATACTCCTTCTGTCCCTAGCTATACTCATTCTATCCCTAGCTATACTCCTTCTGTCACAAGCTATACCCATTGAGTCCCTAGCTATACTCCTTCAGTACCTAGCTAGCTATACTCCTTCTGTCCCTAGCTATACTCCTTCTATCACTAGCTATACTCCTTCTGTCCCTAGCTATACTCATTCTGTCCCTAGCTATACTCCTTCTGTCCCTAGCTATACTCCTTCTGTCACCAGCTATACTTCTTCTGTCCCTAGCTATACTTCTTCTGTCCCTAGCTATAATCCTTCTGTCCCTAGCTATACTTCTTCTGTCCCTAGCTATAATCCTTCTGTCCCTAGCTATACTTCTTCTGTCCCTAGGTATACTCATTTTATCACTAGCTATACTTCTTCTGTCCCTAGCTATACTTCGTCTGTCCCTAGCTATACTTCTTCTGTCCCTAGCTATACCCCTTCTGTCACCAGCTATACTCTTTCTGTCCCTAGCTATAATCCTTCTGTCCCTAGCTATAATCCTTCTGTCCCTAGCTATACCCCTTCTGTCACCAGCTATACTTCTTCTGTCCCTAGCTATACTCCTTCTGTCCCTAGCTATACTCTTTCTGACCCTAGCTATAATCCTTCTGTCCCTAGCTATAATCCTTCTGTCCCTAGCTATAATCCTTCTGTCCCTAGCTATTCAGCTGTACAGGTTGTAGCCTACAAGATTTACAAATATAAATACACATAAAACAACCAGGTGTAATTAGGTTTATTCCATAAAAAAACAAAATGACCGTGAAAGACGCGTATAGAATGAGGTGCACAACATAAAATGACAGTCAGGTTAAATATCTGTAAAAGATACAATTTACACACCAAACTACAATAAGGAAGTATATAATTATCAATTTACATAACTATATGCACGTTACTTAAAAGGGCAATGATCGACCTTCACTGGATTTCATAAACACCTGACAGTCTGACAGCTGATGAAATAGCGAATAAGCTGATTTCAATTTGGCTCAAAAGGCCGTCAGAATCGACATTTACCGACGTGTAAACATTCATTTTGTTGGGCAAACAGAAAATACATACCGGAAATATTAATGTTGATATAGAGGTAAATGGTAACCTATTCTTTGTAACAAAAACAGTATTAAAAACTGAATGGTTTTACGTAATAGAACGAGCAACAAAACAAAAGCGTGCGCTTAATGAAGAGGGAAGACAAAATAAAAACAAAAACCCAACAAAACACAGACAAGTAAAAAAAATCTTTGTCAGATTTGATAAAACAAGGACGAATTATGAAAAAAAGAAATTCCAATATTAATATCTTTTGTTAAATCGACGACACTCTCAACGTAAATCTCCAACTAAGTTGTGTCAATTTCAAAGACTGGTAACAGATTGAACAAGAGAAAAACATCAAAAATCAAGAATAACACACGTTTAACTTTATATTGCACAAACAATGTACTCCAGATGCGATCATTATGATGACCATAAAACCTTCCCTTAATCTGTAGCAGCAAGTATTTCTTTAAACCATAAGTTTGTTTATCGGTCAGTTATCGACGGCTTCCAAGCACATAGTGATATTGGAAATAGGAGTTATTTCCCTTTCTGTTGTTGCTTTCTACTATACATATGATTTAAGTTGGCACATGAAATACGACAAAAATAACTCAGGACAAGCCATTTTCTTCATGCATATACATATATACAGGTATTATACAATAAGTGTTTTATGAGACGTAAAACCTCCTCCCAAAAATAATTGCATGTAAGATCAATATTCTAATAGATTTGCCTTATATCATCTTCAAATTTATAGACAATAACGTTTTCAACTTATCAAATGTCTTGTAGCTTGTTTATTGAACACAACAAATATTCCGGCAGACAAGACACATCTCTATTTACATTGATAGAAGGATAGAAGGATGTACATGTCTATATCTGCAGAAAAACACTTAATTCCAATCTAATACAGAATAGTGTAAAATCATTCATTTTTCGTGGGGTTCAAATATTGTGGTTTTCAAAAAAGATAATTTTCGTTGGCACTTAATTGTTGATAATACTTATTTCTCACACAATCTACTAGTGCTATAACCATGTCTTTTTTTACTATATTAAACATTTCGTGGACAAAGACATATAAAGACCTGGGTTTAGAGTACCTGTAAATTCTCTCGAAAATGAATCCTCTCGAAAACTTCATCAAATCTTTTCAGTAACTGGATATGGCTCGGTCTTATTTCCTCTAAGGAACAATGCCCTGGTCTCTCTTGGTGGATGTTTGTTCTGTATATCAGCATGCAGATATGGATTGAATAAAATGTTTTCTACGGTATCGGTCCTCGCAGAAAATGTAACGGACTCGCTCCTGTTCTTAGATTCCCTGAGTATTCAAAGATTCAATGTCATTATCAGATGCATGTAATATTGATCATTATGTTCAAATAAGTTTCCTGGAATTATAATTGTATCGCAAAATTTAGAGATGATATTTTTACTAAAGAATGTTAGTTATGTTTTGGTGAAAAAGACCGTAATTTTATAATCAATCTAGTTATGATATATATCAGTTGATGTGTGTTGACCCGTGACAATTATTTCATCAGAACTTCGGAATACTGAATGGACACTATTTATATGTTTTACTTTATTCAGTAACATTTTAAATACCTACCTGGTTGAGTTTAGTTTCCAGTAACACACGCCAACGCCGACAAGTATTATCACAAAGAGAGAAGAGCACGTGACCGCTATTATCATGGATATTTTGGAGGTATCCTCCCCTCCTGTACTTAGGTCACTAACAGAACATTCTGGAACGTGAGGATAGGAACATAGAGGTTGTCTAAAGCTACTTAAAGCTATCACATCACATCATTACATATAATTATGAAAAGGTTCTAGATATTTACATGTGCTTAATGTTCCGTAGAACCCTAGTGTATTCGGAGGATGGAACAACCATATTACGCCGTTTACATCATCGCTAGAGTCTGCGGTATCTTTTTGTAAGGCAGATAAAACTGTAAACTCCTCTGTCTGATGGTTTAGTTAAAACTTCGATTCTAAGTTGATTGATTTTACCTATATTTACATTCAAAGGTTTCGTCAATGAAACAGAAGACGTTTACCCTTCCTAAACGTCTGTTGCTAATCAATGTACATTTTTTAGGCTCTCCGTGTTATTTGTCCCTTCTTCTATTTTCAAATCGGTTTTGAATTTGATTCAGGATTTTTCAGACATTCTTCTGTTGTTTTTGCATCTGTTAACAACTGTACATAACACAAACTAGAGATAATTTTGTACAAAATAACAATGATCGGGTGTTTATAAACTTTTGCGAGTGAATTTCAACAAAGTCATGCTTAACGCAAAAGCGCCATTGACAATGGATCATGTACAAAATGGGAGAACAGCTGCAATAGTAAAATGATTATCGGTTCACAAGTATGTATCTCTTTTAAACACACATAAACGGTGCTACTTTTGAAACATATATAAGCGTCATCAAACGTTATTTACCTGTAGATTCAGACCAGGTATAGATACTCTCCTTGCTGTCACACTCCTTACAAAAGTCGTCTTTGTTATGTGTGCCTTCGAAAACACATTCACCATTGATAAAACAGTACCCTTCCTGAAGCGAAAGTATTTCCATGTAAAAGTTTTTTTCACAGAAAAATATGACAATATTAGAACACCAAAACATTGGAGAAATGTGCATCAAAAACAGCATTACGGAAATGGTAGATGATGTATTATTTGCGCACGCGTAATACACTATGACGCAATTCTGCAGGAATCATTTGTCCTGTTAGACGAATGATTCTACATTGTAAGAAAACAACTTATCGTAAATGACTATTGGTGAATTATACAGCATTTTATCACTATTAAACATACCACTAGTGCGAAAAGAAATATCTTTAACTGTTCTAGTAAAGCGTGCTGATGAAGGATCTTCACGGGACAAAATCAGGCACTATATTCATGGAAAAGTGTCACAAAATATGTTAGGAAGTGTATTTCACTAAAATGTGTTAAGAGGTGTATTTCACTAAAATGTGTTAAGAGGTGTATTTCACTACAATGTGTTAAGAGGTGTATTTCACTAAAATGTGTTAAGAGGTGTATTTCACCAAAATGTGTTAAGAGGTGTATTTCACCAAAATGTGTTAAGAGGTGTATTTCACTACAATGTGTTAAAAGGTGTATTACACTAAAATGTGTTAAGAGGTGTATTTCACTAAAATGTGTTAAGAGGTGTATTTCACTAAAATGTGTTAAGAGGTGTATTTCACTAAAATGTGTTAAGAGGTGTATTTCACTACAATGTGTTAAGAGGTGTATTTCACTAAAATGTGTTAAGAGGTGTATTTCACTACAATGTGTTAAGAGGTGTATTTCACTACAATGTGTTAAGAGGTGTATTTCACTAAAATGTGTTAAGAGGTGTATTTCACTACAATGTGTTAAGTGTTAGAGTGTATTTCACCAAAATGTGTTAAGAGGTGTATTTCACTAAAATGTGTTAAGAGGTGTATTTCACTACAATGTGTTAAGAGGTGTATTACACTACAATGTGTTAAGAGGTGTATTTCACTAAAATGTGTTAAGAGGTGTATTTCACTACAATGTGTTAAGAGGTGTATTTCACCAAAATGTGTTAAGAGGTGTATTTCACTACAATGTGTTCAGAGGTGTATTTCACTACAATGTGTTAAGAGGTGTATTTCACTACAATGTGTTAAGAGGTGTATTTCACTAAAATGTGTTAAGAGGTGTATTTCACTACAATGTGTTAAGAGGTGTATTTCACCAAAATGTGTTAAGAGGTGTATTTCACTACAATGTGTTAAGAGGTGTATTTCACTAAAATGTGTTAAGAGGTGTATTTCACTAAAATGTGTTAAGAGGTGTATTTCACTAAAATGTGTTAAGAGGTGTATTTCACTACAATGTGTTAAGAGGTGTATTTCACTACAATGTGTTAAGAGGTGTATTTCACTAAAATGTGTTAAGAGGTGTATTTCACTACAATGTGTTAAGAGGTGTATTTCACTAAAATGTGTTAAGAGGTGTATTTCACTACAATGTGTTAAGAGGTGTATTCTCACTAAAATGTGTTAAGAGGTGTATTTCACTAAAATGTGTTAAGAGGTGTATTTCACCAAAATGTGTTAAGAGGTGTATTTCACTACAATGTGTTAAGAGGTGTATTTCACTACAATGTGTTAAGAGGTGTATTACACTAAAATGTGTTAAGAGGTGTATTTCACTAAAATGTGTTAAGAGGTGTATTTCACCAAAATGTGTTAAGAGGTGTATTTCACTACAATGTGTTAAGAGGTGTATTTCACTACAATGTGTTAAGAGGTGTATTTCACTACAATGTGTTAAGAGGTGTATTTCACTAAAATATGTTAAGAGGTGTATTTCACCAAAATGTGTTAAGAGGTGTATTTCACTAAAATGTGTTAAGAGATGTATTTCACTACAATGTGTTAAGAGGTGTATTTCACTACAATGTGTTAAGAGGTGTATTTCACTACAATGTGTTAAGAGGTGTATTTCACTAAAATGTGTTAAGAGGTGTATTTCACTAAAATGTGTTAAGAGGTGTATTTCACTAAAATGTGTTAAGAGGTGTATTTCACTAAAATGTGTTAAGAGGTGTATTTCACTACAATGTGTTAAGAGGTGTAAAACTAAAACTAAGGTAGCATATAACCTTGAGCACCGGAACAAATAAAATATCAGTTCCTTAACTTCAATTAAGCAACACATCATAATAAATACATGACAGGTAAGATAACGAATTCTCGGATACCTGAAGTAGAAACGATATAGCTCCTGTCTCATTGGTGAATGCCTGACAGGTCGTGTCTAATACGACAAAGTTCCATGCCGTACCAAAATCAAACGGATCCAAAGCGATAGAGACACTGTACTCTACACCGAGTCTCTCAGGCGGGCTTTCCACATCCGGGAGGTCACAATGTAGTTCAAAAAGATTCTGGTACTGGGCAGTTACATTTTGGACATTCAATGTCTGTACAGTTGAATTGATGAAAGTCTAAAAAGGACAGAGTTGGAATAATAAATAGATGATTTCTGAATAATGAAAATCGGATCCCATGACTTTTTACCTAATTTCATGGTATTGTCTCGTTTATCCAAACATTTTCCGAAAACTTTATTGTCTTTATTGTTCGAAGAAAGAAAATATGGATGCAAACTGTCTCTTTATCAAAAAAGTAATGGACAATGAAGATTGTAGGAAAACATCACATGAGAAAATTGTACATAATAATAAGAACAAGTTAGCATGCTAGTGTGTAAACACATGCCCTTGGCAGAGCTATATACATTTACAATTACAGTCACTAACCATTTGACCCGTAAATTGACATGTGTAGTTTCTACCATAGGGAAAATCTTGTCCTTGGATCACGATTAAATCACAACCATATCGCAAATCACACAAGTCATCATTTGCGAGACCCAATGTGGCTAATGGCAAGCTCAAATCATAAGAACAATCATCTGATGCGAAGCCTTCGTCACAACTACAAGCCCCTGAAAATATAGAGCGATTTATTTTATTGTATGGAGCAATTAGATGGCATCTGGTTGAATGGATTTTGTATCCGAAATATCCAATTGAGCTTCTTCCTCTATCGCCAGGGAAAGACTATGAAATCGGATACTGTCTATTTGCATTATGTATTGTACAATACTGGGCTATGTATTTCAAAACATTGCCGACGCTTCTGATTTTACGGGCATGCTCTCACCGTTGTGTATGCTAGATATTCTAAATTCCTAGCAACGATATGTTCGAAAACAATGTTTAAAAATCAACCCCCCGCCCTTTGATCATCGCCCCCGTTATGATGTCCTTTCTTACTCCTCCGCCAGAGGTTTCATCTCCAATGACAACAGATATTTAGAAAGGGAAGCGAGTTATGTCTATTTAAGAAGAAAGAAGAGAACAAAATGCTTCCCCCAGTATCAGCCAGAGGTCAATCAGCTAATCCGAAGGTATTAAAATAATACCTGTTTACATTTTCATTTAGAATGCTATTTGAATTAAACATTTATTCCTGTTTTGTAGCTTTGTAAGTAAGTGTATACTCCTACCACCGTTACAAGTTCCTTTCCCAGAACAACTGCCCGGACACGTGTTGTTTCTTATCACATTTACTGCGTCAGGAAAATTTTCTTGGAGAGTTGAATTCTTTGTAACAGTATCCAGACAAGCGCTTTGGAATCTGTCCACTGCATACGCTGTCCAGTTACTATCACCGGTCAACTTGAGAACGAAAAAAATATTATGTGTGTAAGGTTTAGTGTTTAGGTCGAAATTAACTCCTGTTTCACTGTTGTTATTTGTAATTAACATTATCTTGATGTATTACTGGGTGAAAAAGTCCATGCTTCTTACTGAATGTAGCCTGCATAAAATCTTAACAAAAAAAAAAAAAAAAACCCGTAATCGAGAATAAATTACCAATGAAGCTGTGACAACAGCATTTATTTACAGAAAGTAGTAAAACATTTCTGCTTCAATTTAATCGGAATTAAGTTCACCAATATATGAAACAAAGGTAGAGTAACATGTCCGACAGTATAGATAGTATATCAAAAGTGACTTAACTAAGAATGGTTCATCACAATAATGACAATTAATTATTACCATCAGATCCGCTGTGCATGTTTGGATTTCTGAAGAAGGGATGCCCATATTAGTACATACAGTGTATATGGGTGAAGCCATCAGAGCAAGGTTGCAGACAGCAGTCGCTTCGCTTTCCGTCATAACAGCAGCCTTTAACGTATCGAAAGATGAAGAAAATGTAACACGAGTACATTGTCTAAATATTACACGTGTAGATATATCTAACTCTAAACACTAAAAGTCAAATGTTGAAACACGAGTACAGTGTCTAATTATTGCACGTGTATATATATCTAACTCTAAACACGAAAAGTCAAATGTTGAAACACGAGTACAGTGTCTAATTCTTACACGTGTAGATATATCTAACTCTAAACATTAAAAGTCAAATGTTGAAACACTTGAGTTGTTTATAAATGATTTATTCTCGAAGACGAAACCTTGTTTTGTGAAATTCATTATGATCAATTATTTCATACACATATAAAAGACGAGGAAAACATGGATGTACTCAAGGAGCCATTATAGCTCAGTCGATTGCAGGTTTGCCCCACATAACCTTCAGTGAAGATCCGAGGTTTGACACCCCCACCCCGTGGCGGTTTGTTTCGTGGGAAGCTGCAACACGCACCAGTATATCCTGGCATTTTTTTTTTTAAATCGACATCACAGTAAAACGGTTTTCACTGATCTTTTATTGTTGCACACACATATAAAGTGTATCACCTTATGAATAATGACAGTTTTTGCTGAAAATGCACGTAAAGAGGCTAATTTATACTCATATAAAGGAAATCCTTATCTGTTGATCAACAATCTCGATATACCAAATAACAGTTGCCACACCCACAAATTCCGGTGCTGAAAAACGTGATTTTACTTAATGTATAAATACTGTCGCTGTCGCCTCTGCCTACCATCACATGTTCATGTTTACAAAATGAACTGCCTCGTTTTAAAAACTATCTTGTGACGTCACCGAATCTTAATTTGAGAGGGGTTTCAAGAATCAAAGAAGTGGTCATACCGGACATTGGAAATCTACTGTAAATATCGGGGTAGTATAGAAACGTCACTGGAAGTATATAAAACATGTTCAATTAATAATGAAATTCATGTTTGTACAGTGATGTCCCTTTAACAATAACTATTGTCGCAATAGCTTTTTATGACATGCGACGGGGCCTCCAATATGTTATTCAGTGATGAAGTCAAGCCAGCAACTATAAAGAGGAGATCGTACCTCAATATGACCTTGGCTGTTGACGGAGCGAAATAAACAAAACTTAAGAAATACTAAATGTGTTGACACATATTGAATGTAGAATATGTAAAGGTTATTCTGAATTTATTTTTCCAAAATGAATAACAAGATTTCTTTGTGCTCCTTACTGTAGTGAAATTGTACTAGCAATGTCCCGCAAAATGCCATTTTTAACCTATAAAGAAGGAATTGTATTAACCATCTTTTTCTACATGAATGTCTAAAATGTGTGCATAATAGCCATTTTTAGTTCCGGCATAAAGAACAAGCTTTTATCAAAATCATACTGAATGTAAAACTAAAATACCCTTTTTGTTCTTTCATGATCTTGAAAATTCGTATTCTTTCGGACGTCTCTCTTTGCTCTCACATTTCCTGAATTTCCCTGTAGAATACAAGCCATGTCATTCTGATTACCACAGCTGGTGTATTGTCTGTAGGAACACGGTGTTGGGGAAGTTATGTCAGCCTCAGTCTCTATAGCATGGGAACAAAAGCACACTTGCTCGGATTTTGGGTATGGTTCGAGGAGATTCAAGTCTGGTTCGACATTCAGTAGACTTTCCTCCTCGGCGAGTCTGTCAATGTTTCATATGGGGTTTTATTTTTTATAATTTCAAAATTTCCGAAAAGACCTTAAAGACTTTGTAATAACATATTTACGTTTGATAATATTTCGGCTAAAACGATTAAACACGATTCTTTCTTCGAGTCTCGAAACAGTTATATGATGCAGTTTCATTCAAAAATAAATGTGATTTTTTTATTGTTAAAAGTGTATTTTGATGAGCTATCAATTTTCTGTTCCATGGTGGTAAATGTTTAATTTGAAACATGCCACAATGTGACATATTGACCATTTACCACTTAAACGGAACAGTTGGATTGATGAGTTTGTGAAGTATTTTACAAATTGTAACATAAATAATGAATCAAGATCAAATTACAGTAGAGTTATGGATACTTACTTAAACGACTCTGTGAAATAGTTTGGATGGTAATTATATCCCCCATAACAGCTTGCATGATCTGGCGGAGGGTTCTGGCAGGGTAACTGGCTTCCTTTGTTGACACAATCATTGCATCTATTTCCGTCCAAATTCCCACAAAGACCTGATATATTTCCTCGATATTCATGTATTGTAGGATAAACATCAATATCCATCATATATTTATATCTGCCTCCACGTAACTTCACGTTTATTGTCGCCCCAGTGGGGAGATAAATCTAAAAAAATAATTAGCTATGACGTGAACTCTAAAGATGAAGAGTGCGATGCTTTATATGTATGTGTGTATATATATATTAGAATAACTTAAAACAACACATTGTATCTAGGCAATTTATCAAGCACCATGAAGATTCAGGAATGAAAGTGCTAATGCCTAATTGGACATGCTGTTATAAGTTATTCTAATATATTTCACCGGACACTGGAAATTCCACATTTTTTATTTGAATATAAATATATATGTATATTGAATCGAAATGGTCCTGCGTATGCAATGACTATTGCATATCGAAAAAAAACCAATTTCCTGTTTTGTATTATTTTATAACATCAATAGAAATTATTTTTTACGTACTGATAAGACACACATTGATTCCTACAAATGATATTTGTTTTGCTGTTTCAAAATTACGTTTGAAATAATAAATTTATTTTTTCATGGTTGTTATGAAATATACTGATTTATTCCCGGGGGGTACTTACTTTATATCCCTTTGAATCTGTCGATATCCTCTCAGCCTTCAAAACACTGTCGTTGCATGCTGTAAATCTGATTTGGTTTTCATCATTACAGGTATAGATTTGAAACACGTCCCGGCCAACAGCTGCAACTATTCCACACGCACAATATGGCGATGTTTGACTATAACATGAAGCCATTTCAACCTGTACCTAAACAGTAAAACAAAATGACAATCACTCCAATATTCACTGAAAGCAGTGGTTTTGAAAGTGATTTTGTTTCCTATTTACAAATAAGACATATCATTTTAATTTGTTTTACAATAGCTTTTGTTTCTTATTTGAGATATAGTATGAAAGTATTTAGTAAACATTTTGTGAATATATATTTTTACCCAAGGCAAAATATCGTTGTGATTTACGGATAACTATAACGTCTCATTAAGGGAACATTGATATTATGTGCTCCTTCAGGCACGCACGCAACACATTCAATAAATACCCAGAATCCAAAGTACCTTAACAGTCACCTGAGTCACAATGTTTCCTGTAACATGTCATAGAAATGATTTTGTTAAATAAGTATAACTTTAATTACGTTGTACACGTAATTAAAAATATGAATTTTGCGTAACAGTCCATTTGACCCATTTTTTACCCGTCCATCAGCCTCTTATGGTCAGGCGATGTCAATATGTCACAATAATTCTTGTTTGAACTACATATAGAATTAAATACATATGCTCAGAAATGTAATTTTCCTATGTAAACTAAAGTAAGATTGATCCCCTTCCTGAGGAGAAAATGTGAGACCCTAGGATATTGAAATTTACAATAATGGTTAAGCAGCATATGAAACTTCCATCCATCCAGAGTATTTGGTTCTACTTTATCTGGCTATTGAGAGGACGACTTTTGAAAATTCAATCAGTTTGAAAAAAAATGGACCCGCTAATCAGCCTCTGGGGGTTGGGAACCATGTGATTTTTAATTTTGGTGCGCATCTAGCTATGAAAGGCGTTTATGAAAATGTGATTGAAATCGGTTCTTAAATTATCCAGAATAAGTCAAAATGTTAAAAGTTTGCGATGCAAGACGTTGGACAATAGGGGATTGCAAAAGGATTTCCTAAGACTTTGTCCCGTACACAGTCTTGATCTAACCACACGTCAGTGACCGCATAACTAAGATGTACCTGCATTGGGGGATCCTCAGTTTTCATCAATAAAAAACGACCCCGTTTCTGAAGTTCAAATCTCCTACAACACAATGCATGTAAGTAAAATTGTTTATACATACTGTATGTTACTACCTCAGGATATACTTATATAATATACATTTCACAGAAGATATCGTGTTTCATATACCTGATGCTATGAGTTGGAAAATGATTGCAGAATTGATCTAGGACTTAAGACTACATGTTATTCCTGTGTCTCAGTGGGTTTTTTCTTTTACTTGGTTATTTTTATTTTTACTTTTGTTCATATTTTGACCACGCTCGAATTAAGGTTCTGTGGCTAATATAACTGTGAAAATGTATGGATTATGAATATAGACGAGTCGACATGAACGTAAAATAGAAGGTGGCAGTATATGCATCATATTACTCAAACTGCAATTTGTATAGCATGTGTTAAACAAGTTAAAACAAAACAACATAAAACATATGTAATCAAGACTTACAATCCATCGAATGTTAAATGATGGGGATCACAATGGACAGAGCATACCTTGCCCTGCCAGATCTCAGCTCCTTCTGTATCAGAAACATTGATCTTAAAAAAATCATAATGGAATCTTATCATTTGAGATCTAATGAGCGTAGTCTATACAATCTAAAATCTGGATTCAGATCTGTAACCTGTCTTGTTTAGTTCTCCCAAAGTATAAACGTTACGGTATATTTCTCATACCGTCACAATACTAACTGTTACTGACTAAAGCTTTAAAAGTCATGTAGATTTTCTCGATTTAATCTGAACAGAGACTGAAATGTGTCGCAAGGATAATTTTACTGTTACATCGGAAAATTATTATCTAACATGAAGAGTAAACAAACAAAGAATTCTTGAGCACAGATATCGCTTAAGGATATTTACTTTTAAGTTGTTCTCCCTTTGTTTTCGTTGATTGAGAAAGGAATTTCCACATTAAGATTTTTCATCTTAGTAATGTTTAAGATTGTACAAAAGACAAGTCAATAGCGCCTTACAACACAGCTTTAAGATAAGAAACATTAATAGCACCAAATCAAATGAAATGTGTCTTAACAACCCTATGGGACTCAGTGCTGCTTGGTACCGAATTTTGCTACATCACCAAGTAAAAATTAAATAATTGATTTTGGATATTAGATAATGACTTCAAGATTGATTTGTTTACATGCACAGCCATAGGTGGGAGTACAAACTTCAAATTCAGAGTAATGATGGCTACTAGCAGACTCAAACGCCTTATTGAGCTGATCACCTAGTAAAGCCAGAAAATATATATACGGTTTAAAGGTAAGCTTGAAAAAGATGAGATTAAGTTGAATCTCTCTTTATAACTATACTTACTGTGACTGTCTCAGATTCAATATTCTTCCAAAACTGGTGACTAGGGTTTTTGGTTTGTAACTTCAGTACGAATTTCGAATTGGCTAAGTAATAGGAACCCTGTTTGCTTTCTGATGTTGCAATTTCAAACTCATAGTTTGTTTCCGATGTCCAAGGTGATGCACTGTTGTAGTTGTCCTTTGTCACACCTGCCACTTCTACCGTACATTGATGTTGAATGCTGTTGCTGTCACAAATGTTATTTGCTGCGTCGCTTGATATATAAAGTGTCAGTTGACAGGTAGATTCAGGATTTGTCGAATGTTTCACGCAACCGTACGGAATGGTGGGGTAAAAACTCACAACTCCCTTTTCTCCACGCTTAACATCAATGGAAGAATTCAGCATCTAATATAGCATTAGAAATAAAAAAAAATGGAATCATGAAACCCGGATGAAAAAAATGTAAATTCTTAACAGAAATCAGAACCAAGTATAAAATTAAAAAATAAAGATAACTAAAAAACGTTAATAAAATCTATTTTTAGGTATTATCCAATCCCGACCGAACACAGTATTACTAGTATTAGTTACTTCATCTCATCATCCAAGTTTATTTTGGGAATAAACATCTTTTATTTATTTTACAATGTTACAACTAATCGTCATTTATTATAACATATAAAGTTTAAGTTTAAATATTTATTTGGAAAATGTACATATCACTACATCCAAAAACTTCTAAATAAGACGACTTTGTGAATCTTAGCTAATCAAATTTAGTATTGTCACATTCTCAAATGGTTGAGAACCGTTACGATTAACAATATGATATTCGGGAAAAGGATATAGATAACATAATGTTGTATTGATTGTATGCAGAGCTACCTTGATACCAGCGTAGAATCCTGGACTTTTCGTTGTTATACCTGTGCTGCCATCCCTTGATGATCTAGCTCCGACATGGCAGGAAATCTTTAGAGTAAACAACGTCTTAGATTGTTGTTGCCAGTGAGATAAACTATTTGATATAACCTTTATGCTGTGTGTCGAAAGGTTATATTAATAAGACAATAAGGAATATTCACTCCATCAATAATTTCCTGTGACGACGCAAGTAATACTGACAGGATGACACTACTGCCATGTTGAGATGACAATGTAATACACTATTGTCAGCTTACCGCTTCCTAGTCACTTGTGATATCGGGATTTCAACAATTTCATTCGAAGTGTTAACGTTTACACACATATCTTACAGGAATAAAAACAAATGATAATGATCATTTGAGGCAAGGACACAAAAAATGTGGTTTTAATTTACTCATGATTTGTATTACTGTGGTTACACAGAATGGGTAATTAAGGAATATAAACAAATAGAATGTGGAGCATGAAACTTAAGTTTACTCCATGACATCTCACCGTTATTCCAGCAGCATATCCGAGAAATTGGAGTTGCAGATCAGTAACAAATGCATAAGAGGGATCCTGGATAATGATATCAGTGTCAAGATAATCGCCGTTCACGTAGAAGTACACGCTGTAGAACAAATCTGTTTCGTTATTCTCATCGAAAGAACAATGAAACTGCAGGTTAGGCATCTCATTAAAGGAAGTTAGACCGTAAGGAATCCACTTCAGACTTGTCTTGATCTGCACATTGCTTGGCGTAAAATCTGGAGCTGGATCTAATAAAGATGCATACATGTCTTACATGTCTTAACCGTTTTAGTTTATATATGTGACGAAGTTACGAATGAATATGTTATGACGTCAGATGACAATCAATTGTTACCCATTTGTATTTATGGTGAAGACGTTGTAATGAGATATATGACCTCAATAAAAGTACGATTTCTACATTATTTCCAGAGTGATCAATAGAAAAATTTACATGAACAAAATGAATAATTCAACGAATAGGCTTTTGGATTGGTTTCATTTCCAATATAGTTTATGAAATCTTGCCATGACTTTTTAAAATCTAATTTCATCACATGTTCGACGAAATGAAAATAAGATGCTTCCACTCGTTTGATCTGTGTCAGGGGAGTGTGAAATTGAAACCATATATATTGCGTCTTAGGAACCAGTCGAATAAGCAATGAAACAAAAAGTGTATCAAATTATTTCCCGTCAAATCCAGAAAGAAAATTAGTATGTAGTTGAACGTTATTTTCTTACCGATATGTACTTAGAATCGATATAGAATTGATTTATATAAGAATATGCAGATCATGCAATGTCATCAAGGGATAGCAACATCGTAATTCGAACTCCAGAGCTAGAATAAATGATGTAAGTCGAGATTCTGGAAGGGTTGATTGAAATTATCTGTCATGTGCCAAATCAAAAAGTATCACGCCCTCAAATTCATCAGGAAAATACCAACGTGGCAACATCAACATAATTCAAACTCCAATTCCATGTAACTAAGGCAAAATATGGACAAACAAGAGATTTGCACAGGTACTCCTGAAATTGCGGACAATGTCAGCTAGTTCAAAATAAGAATTTGTCATAATTAAACTTCACTTATTTTACTATAGTTTCGAAACAAGTTTTTCCAATCTATATTAATCCCGGATGGAAGTGCCTAAGATGACCCGTACCGTCCGTTCCGGAAAACAAACCCTGGTCGTCTAGGTGAGTGGCGAGGGTATTACCACAACATTACCCAAGCATCTAGTTTTGTTCCTCTCATTTCCCATTATTTTCCATTTCCATTATATTCTATTTCATAGAAACAATATGAAAATATCTGTTTTGTGTTCTTGGCATATATATTCATACCATCAGGGAACGTATGACGCTACTGGATGAATATCTGATTAAGTGCAACAAGAGGTAATAGTTTGGATATAGTCACCAGTCTTACATGTAACATGCAACTGAGTATACATCCAAAAGCAAGAATGAAAGTATCGACGGAATCATAATTAAGATTAACTGGTGACGTAGAAGAACATTTAGAGAATGTATTCTCAAGGTTTGAATGGTGGTCAGATAAACATTGTGAAATAATTCCCTCTTTCAACATTAATACCTTAAACATCACTAAAGAACCATACAAATATTTGATGCAGTTATTCTATATTCGGCTCTAGTTATGAAGTTATATTGAAAGGTGTTATTCTCTTGTGTGATTTGTAATTTTCTTTTCTGAAGGCAACACTTGATGAATAAGATTATGAACACTTGGTGTAAAATTATGGTATGAATCAAGTCTTTATGTCAGTAAAAACCACAGGGAATAATAGAGAAGAGATATATGTTTTGTGTACTTACCACCAGAAACCGAGGGGATATCTATAAAAAATTAAGAGAATGTAACATGAAAGTATGTGCAATGAAATAATAGCAAATTATTAACGACATGATTCAACAGCAAAAGAGCGTAGACATTTGTTTAACAAGTATACCGGTATACTGGTGAGCATCTTACTAACCGTTATAATATTTGCATATTTTATTGTATTTGTAAGTTTCAAGTTAAGATAAAAGAATGAAGGTTTTCCGCATTTTGCGCTACCGACAGCGTTATACATTTCACGAATATATATATATGATTTTAAAGTTGGTATGATTAATGACACGCTTGAATCGAGGCATTAATACAGTTTTTGTCAAAATGTGTGATCTGGCAGGGGAAATATAAAAGGAAGATATTACGTTGTTTGATTTAGACTTTCCCCGAGTTTATTACTAAGATTTGATCTAAGAAATATATAACGTACACATACACGTTTATGACGCTATTGTTTATAAAAAAGTATCAAACATGTGATGCTGTTTTGAAATAGCAACGTCTAAATCTACTGGATGTTAAATTACCTGACCAATATCAGATATGTGTTTATTTCTGTATTTTTTTTACTTTTTTACTTTTTTCGTTGTTAGTGTTAGTTTTTAAAATTCGTTTTATAGAAACCTTCCAACGCAATTAAATTCAGTGGGAAATATTTATGTCCAAAAACATGAACATATGATAAAATATACTTACCAAAGCAGTATGCACTGTCATGTTTTGGAGAACTGGTAAGGAAATACACATAATGTCTCCCACAATTCTTGATAAAAGTGTAATGAATACTGTCAGCACATGTTCTTGACGTCGCAAAATCTGTGACACAAAGTTTCCGAATATGATGTTTTCCATCCGCTTCCGGTAGAGAGTCTTCATCAAATGTATGCAAAAAACACAAGTACATGATTGTAAACAAAGGTTAACTCAAATGATAAAATGAACAAATTACATCATAGCAACACGAAGTGATAATAATAGGATTTTAAATGTAAGGCCGGATTTCTGTAGTTCATAGTTAGCGAAAACAACATTCATAATTAGCATTTTTGAAGCAAATTTTCAAAGACCTTGACTGGAACATAGCATCGGAACTAGTATGTAACTAAATATTATTGTAAGTGGAATTCATTCATAAGTATGTTTGCATCCAATAGTATTGATCAGAAATACATTACTGATAAAAGTACATTCTTCTTTACAGAAGTTGTCACCATGGAAACTAATGTGAATTAATTATTGAGTTATTATCTGGAAAAAAATCTATCTTTGATAAAAGTAGCCTTTATGCTTGACCTTTTGACCACAAACACAATCCCAAACAAGGTCTCCTACCAAACTAATATTTTATCAAGTTTCAACCAACTCGGTCATCCCTACCTCAAGTTTTCATCTGAAAACCAAAATTCTATTTTTAGCAACAGTGACCTTTGTAGTGAACCTTTTGACCCCAAACACAAACGCACAATAGGTCTCCTACTAAACTAACATTGTAAGAAGTTCAATCTAATCGATCATCAGTTATTCAGATATCATCTGGAAACCATCCGGACAGACAGACGGACTAAGACAAACACTATAGTCCCCTTCGGTTTGACCGGCTAAGGACTAATAGCTATGCTCGGACTTAAAAATGATGTTTTTTAATATGATGAATATATGAATATCCATTTCATTTTATACGGGGTTGATGAAATTAGATTTTTCCGACTTGGAGGCTCGTTAAGATGACCTAGATATCATATGATAAGGAAAGGAGTTTTATTCTTTATTTCATGAAAAAACATATTTAGGATTCTTTTGGAAGTACATCTGTCATTGTCCTATTCTGTATCCCTGTCTTTGATGAAGTCAAAAAGCATATGATGTCATGCATTTATGATGTCATCATTAAAGCAACGCTAATCTTCAGGTGTTATTACATGCAAGCTCATAACATTTAATGTAATGGGCGTTATGGCATTGATAATGGGGTTCATGCAGTTATGGTACACGTATACATCGTATATAAAATCATAACCACGTGAACCAACTTACGTTACATTAATCACGGAATATTGACTTTCAAATGTTTATGGATATTTGATAACAAGCAGTCGAGATATATCAATGGATAGGGAATAAATATATGTTTAAAAAATATGGGCTAGCTAAAATTTTATTTTTATTACAAGGAACCTGTAAACAATGTAAATAATTTGTAAACAATGATTAAGTAAGTTAGCTGTTTTTCTTACAATGACGAACTGAAACATAAGAAATAATGTACAAAAATGTACGTTACCATTCATCCACATTTGAGAGTTTGCCCCACATCGATTTGTTAGGTCTAAATCCGGACTCTCTGTAACCATCTGGTATGGTTTAGCACTATACCAGTTATGAACCAGGCTGTCATCAGTCTGTGTAACGTAAGTGTTAACAGGTCGATGGTACTCTAGGCCGGGAAGTACAGGCGGGGTCCAATCTGAACAGGGATCACCAGGTATCGATAGATCTGCAAACAAATAAAGTCCTCTTAATTTTAGAATAAGTTGCATGATGTGAACTTTAAAAATGCGATTTTAAGGGAAAACAATGTTTCTAGGATTCCATGGTCATGTGATTCAATGGACAAGAGGACATAATTTAATAAGCACCAATTTGTACAAGTCGGGATACCAACTCGATAATATTTAAACAATACACATACAAAACCAAGTTAATATATATCATATAATATTGTTTCTACTATACAACACGCCTCTCCTCTTGTAGAGTGTTTATAATATTTATTGGCCGAGCGATTTAATTTACCACAGAATATCATCTCATTAGTACTGATGTATATATTTCGGGATACAAATTCCATTATATTTAACTACATGTATATCGAATACGAAGCTCATTTTACGTGTTGAAAAAAGATCATGAAACTTCTGAAATCCGACATCTATATCTGTATTTAGGTTGTAGTATTTACCAAAACAGTAGGCGACAGTGTCATTTTCTAGTCCGTATTGGTCTCTTCTGAGTAATTCTAACGCGTAAACTCGAAAATTCCCGCCATTATGGACCTCAATTGCGAACGTATCTTTACAAGGATCATTTGTTTCTGCGTCTGTGATACACACATCTTTCCAGTGATATAAACCATCTGCTTCTGGCAAGGTGTCTGAAAGACAAAGCTTATGCAATCGAGTAGCTTATATCTAACCACACAAGACGAGATTAATATATAGGTCTTTATAACATTCCTGAAGTCAATGAGGTGATGATACACGCAGCATATATCACACTGGTTTTTAATAAACGAGATTTTAATGTTCATGCTTTTTGTATCACTTAAAAAACGGTATAAAACAAACCGTTCATGACGGATAGCAGGTGGACATACTCGGAAGTGAATTCCAGTGAATGACCTATTGATTGTTTGCCTCAACACTGTGCAAAGTCGTTATAAAATACTTCTGGAATTAAATAATAACTCGTTTTGTTCTGCAAGGTCAATGTGTTGCATCATATCTATGAAAACAATTGGTTTTAATACGTCAATACTTACCATTCATCCAAATTTTGCGTTTTGCTCCACAACTGATTGTCTCTGCGTCTACCGGTGAACTCACAATATCGAATGATTCTCCCGCTGTGAATAACATACTCGACAGTGTTTTGTCATCTATTACTTCTTCTTTCGAAGAAAGACTTCTCCACGCCAAGTTAGGGACTTCGTTATATGACCCGACAACTGATGGAAAATAAAAGCAATGATTAGATAAAGGTTTCCAAATTTCTGTACATATATGAATTCTGCTGGTAAATATACTTCGTAAAAAGGCTAATATGACCTATTGAGGTCAAACGTATTTTTATTATTATGAATCATATTAGCTATTTTGTTTCAGTGTTCCTGTTACATCCAGGTCACTACTGCATTACATTCTGTAAATAATCAATGGTCGTACTTACTGTTGTGTTGCAGTGGAATACCTGTAAACAAAAACATTTATAAAACTTATTTAAAACAGCAAATCGACTGATCAATAAATTAATATATCAGAAATTAACACGCAGTAATCATCAATTTAAATACAAGACATATTTTGTTATCAGCATGCTCTCCCTTAGTGCTGAAATCTCCAATTTACTTATTTATTACTATCTTAACAGCCCGTCAACACATAATACTGCGATTCAAAGAGGACATAACAACAAGGAAAGCAAAAGGTAAAAGACAAATGCTAAAAATCTGAAATGGTTATATTATCACAAAAGATTAAAATGGTGAGTCATATTCTATAATAAAGACCAACATCTTTCATATAAACCAGAATTTTATAAATCTAAACAGTTTCAAAAAGGGTCTTTAGGGTTGTAACGTTACGATAAAAAGTAGACAAGCAAATCGAAAGGCTTGTTAGCATACTAAACATTTAATCGCTGAGTAATTAGATTGATATTTGATTGAATTATAACACTTAAACTAAAACTGTCAGTTTACCGAAATAATGCATGTTACAATTTTTTTTCATCTCACTGAAATGATTACTTCATATCTGCTATATTGGTTACATATTTCTCCGTTCCTACCCAAAAATACTTTATAAACAAACATGATCACACTGACGAAACTGTGCATATGAAAGCTTATACTTTTAGCTACATGCCATCCTGTCTCCCTTTCTCAACTTTTCGCATGATGAAACCTTATGATCAGCTCAAATCAAATCGCTAAAAAAAAACCCAAAGCATTGGTAGATAAACAAAAGTGTGGGAAAGTAATGCATGCATACATTGATCAATAATACGCACGTTTCAAGCATTGTTGGTTGCCTGGTGCAGTTTCATCCCATCCGTCGCAGCAGAAATTCTGTGTATAATAAGTGGTAGCATATCTGGTGTGACATCTTCTTCCTCTCCATCCACTAGTACACGACTCGACTGCCCTGGAATAGCTCTTTATCTTTGAGCAGAAATTCCTAAAACAAAAATACGTTAAGTTAAATGTTGATTTCAGTGATATCGTGCCAAATATCAACAACAGACTTTTCCCGATGTACAAAGGTTGGGTATTGGTGAGATTGATGTAGTTTTTGATTCGCTTGTATATTTCAGGTTAGAACTTAAAATAAAACTGTACATGACAGAGATGACTAATAGATAATCAGTAATTTTGGACAGTTGGATATGTCTCTGTTATTGTCAGTGTTAACGAAGTTTTACACGAGTCGCAAACCGTTCAGTTTGTTTGCTCAATAACGATATCAAAACTGATTTCTTCATTTCTGCATTAAAAATGGTTTAAATATTGATGAGGTACGAACTCGGCCTAGCAGTCAGAAGTACAAATTTATATGAACGTTCATTTCATCTATGTTTGAACATATCAATGCGAAAATTTCCAACAAAACAGCCGTATTTTGACTTCATCTTGATAAATACTAAAATAGAAAGATTGTTCTAAACATCTTCATAATTCCATATGTAAATTCTACTTATTCACAATATCAACTGCTTTGTTGTGCCTCTTTGGTGAAACTTGGGGGGAGAATGTCTAAATATTCCTTTGTAGATTAGATCACTTTGAAGTTTTTTTCACCATACGCAATTTATAATATATTAATGATGATATCTATTGCGCATAGGGATGAACTTGCTGTATCTTTCTGGACGTCAAAGGAGATGACTAATTGTTGTACCTCTACAGAATCGGGAGCTTCGGTGACGGTCCCTCAGATATTTACTTCTAGGTGGCCATTGTGGTAATCAGTTTAAAAGAGGCTGTTATATCCAGTTACAAGCTATCGTAAAGGTCGATAAAAAGTACGTACAGGCAGATGCATGTAGTTTCCTTGTCTATGAAGAAATCAAAGATATCGACTGTACCTGTTGCAGCAGGCGATACCTTTACGATTTTCCTCTGATGGTCAACTGGCCATCCCAACATGGCCATGGTTGTTAACACGTTAACTTTGTTTGTTTGTCGTCGCAACAGTCAAAGATAGTGAACATGGATCATTGGCCGTTTCATCAATCATTTCCTAGAGTTAAACATGCTACCCAAATTGCATGATTGTGCGGGATAGCTAGATTCGGTATATTTGTATCTGATAATCATTAAGATATTTTTCTTTCCAATATCTCTCTTCATATCAGCTCAATTTTGTCTTAGTATCATTGAGCGTTCCCCAGGTGAACAAAGGTTATTTATTCCTCTCGAAGCTGTCACAAAGCAAAGGAATCACAATTATGGCTAGCTTTTCAGTGAAATGGAACTGGATGGTACGTCAATATAACGCTTCTAGTCTTGACAACTATATAAAAATTGTTATATTTCGTGATTTCAATTAAGATTTTAAAATTTTCTTAATATTTGCATCAAATTGATTGTGTGATTCATACTGTATACATCACTCGGAAAGAATCAAAATCAACTTCATTCAGTTTATGCTACGCAACGTTAGACTACATTTTGTAGTCCATATGACTGATTTCTTTTTTGCAGAAAGACAGTGCATTGCCATGGCCTAGATACGTTCGTTGTCACAATCCCAGATGGCCGCTTGTAATATGCCAAAAAGCATAAAGGCACAATGGACGGAGGCTACATAGGAATAAGCTGCGTGGTATCTATATGACCTCCTTAGTCAGCCGTCTGAATTTTCTGTCCACAGTTTTCAGGCCGCAGACTCGCACATCTGTGACCGAGTGTTAAACAAAGGATAGCAGAAACTACTCTTTTTGTGTAATTTTTCTGTGATATTCTATAATCTGTTTGCCATCTCGTCACAACATTTTCGATCTTGGTGTACATAGGATTGTAGTGCAGACTAAAACGGGATTTAATCGATTCCTTATTATTTCGTACACTAATTACGTATTGCTAGTACGTTTCACACTGGCCATTTGTCAGATGAAGGTTTCCATGTAGTCAGGGACACGTCACATTTAACTGATCTATTGGCTCTGTTATAAGAGCTTCTATTATACTGACACTACCAACATGATGAAAATGTCCCGAAACACGATTGAATTATAGCTCATAAGGAAAATCATATTGCTTTCGTTGAAAAAAAATCAGGTCGCGTTTGTGAATACTTATGTAAGGGTTGCATTTTCAGATTCTTTATTTAAAAGATATTTATATGTTTGTTTTGTAAGTTTTAATGTCTGTTTGATACTTAACCATCAGTTTTGTAAGTATAAATGTCCCAATATTAATCACGCGAGTGCATGAATCATTAAAACCTGCAGGAATACATTAGTTGCACCTAATCGGAGGATTTTCAAATCAGAATCAATCGTGGTTCTTTTTTAAGAAACTAAAATCAATTACTGAAGTATTTCTTACGTAAATGAATGAAAAAGATCAATAGATTTACTCACCTGTGAATGATTTGACATTATTTTGACTTCCTGATTGCTGTTTGGTTATAGTATGTTGATAACAGAACGTTTTCATAATTAAAGGTCTACCGTTATACGCAGTATTTAATAAGGTCCGCTTTATCTGGTGTAACCATCAAATAAAACACTACATGAAAATCAGACACCATTATAAATTGCTATAACGTACTTGTTAATTTTATAAGTACGGTTGAAATTAATTACCTGACATATTATACCTAGGTTTTTTTCTTAACTTCCTCTCATAAGATTAAGTTATATTGGTGCTCGAATATTGTTGTTAACTAAGGTAGTTGTAAGTGAGAAAATTTGTTGGAGTACTTATTATGACTAACAAAGATAAAACTTTGTTCTGAATAACGCAGTGTCAGTTATTGGTTAAGAATCTTTTCATACTTTCAATAACATCTGATAGATTTCATATAATATAAACATAACCAGATCTCTCCTAAGAATACCAAAATAACTACATTTCCCGATCAACTAAACCATTTTTATATTTTGCGACGTGTAGTGATTAAAAAAACATCAATTGCATGGCTTACAAGGTATTCAGGCAAATACCACTTCATCGGATACACTCAACGTATTTCATCTTATTTGCGTCCAGTTAAGAAAACGAATGATTCCCAAGTAACTATTAATCAATGATTTACGATTCTGATAGTAATGCACCGTTACTTTTATGAAAGTGATTCACTTTGGACTTCATTGATAAAGCAAATTTACAAAATAATTGACTTTCTTTTCTTATTTAATAGACAAGAAACAATTACCACAAATCACAAAAACGGAAACAATAGACTTACAGCTTTTCAAAATTTTTGTCAAAAAGAAAAGATATTCTTACCCTGACCACGCTTCCATGGGCATACAAAGACATGCAAGGGCCACAAAAATACCCAGAAGGGCTTGCATCTTCATCTCTGATCTCGCCATGTTACTTACAAACTGCGTCTTACCAAACACCTAACCAGGAAGTTCAGTTTTGCACTATTTTCCATTACAATGAATCAGGTGACCAAACGTCTATACAAATTCAAATTGTAATTAAAAATAGTTTGTATACAACGATAGTGTCGATTGATTAGTTGTTATTCACATGGTTAAATCACGTGTTGTTAGTACGAAATGTCATTATGATATTAAAATCTGCACCAGTAAAATTATTTTATGTAATACATAATGAAATTTTCAAATAACATTTCTGTCCATATTAATCTCACGTCATTGCCTTGTTGACTAGTTTCGATTTGATATGGAATGCGAAGCTTGTCAAAGATTCAATATCTCGATTTTGTTATTCAATAATGAAACTTCTAAAAACAATATTAATATAAGTCCTACTCACGTTAACTAGAGATATCAAAAAAGTAATAAGATAGTAACCCACAATGGGAATAGACAATTCAGAAGTGATCGTCCCTCGCTGGGATAATTATATTCACATCACCTTGAGTGCTGAGTACATATAAGGATACATAAATGTTAGTTTGAATAAAGAGAGTATCGATAATGTGTCTACGTATTGCGCATTAAATTCTACACTGTTCATCACGTGACAAAATTTTGCATTTAAAATGCCAATATTGACATAAGTGTATTTGAGGTGTAGACTTTGAAATATGAAATCACCTTGATATCGATAAAAAGCATGGTAAATACAACGCCAAACAGGAAGTCATATGTGGTATCAACACTTATATCAGACCACATCAATTGCATACAAATGCGTTCAAATGATTTAAAAATTGGAATTTAATTTGTTTAAATAAACCTGATTTATTAGAGATACTGACACAATATCAAATCACCTATTCGGAATGCTCGGCTGTTACTTACCATTCCTTACAACTGCCGAGGTGCCCATAGTCAACGAATCATTTTCTTGACATTTACATAGTGTTAGAGTACCGAAATACATGAATACCATGATATTATTATTGATTTAATGTATGAACAGTATAACAAATGACATTATTTCTATCTGATCTAAAATATTCTCAGTTTTTGAAATTATATAGACTGCCTTATATAATCAATCTCACGTCGCATCAGTCATTTGATATATATACTAAAAGGATAAAGAAACGCAGGGTGAACTTTAAACCAGAAATTAAGTATGATATCGGGCTTAATTTAAAACGAAATTTTGTATACTTACAGATAAATTAAGGTTTAAAAATGTCCAAAGTCTTTATTTTGAATCTGACAATTGGTTTAGAGGTACTAACGATTAAATTGAATGGACCCATAGGATTTTGAAATTGAACTGAGTCATCAATATCTTGTGTGTCTGCCGTTTGCGGTGGTCACGGCCCTTATTCTTCTGGTCATAGAGTTCATGAGAGCGTTAATCCGTTTTATGGGGATGTTGTCCCACTCTTCAATCAGAGCTCTGGTCAACTGCTCTTGAGTAGCAGGGGGTGGCTGGCGCTTTCGAACCTGTTTATCCAACTAGTCCCAAAGATGCTCGATCGGGGACAAATCAGGGCTATATGGCGGCCAATCTAGTGGTTGAATGTTGTTGTTGGCCAGAAAGACTTGGCAAATCCTTGCTACGTGGGCCTAGCATTATCCTGCTGGAGGGTTAGATTATGCTGCTGTAAGAAAGGGATAACATGGGGTCGGAGGATCTCATCTCTATACTTAGCTGCTGTTAAATTGCCATCAATAACAACCAATTGTGATTTTAACCCGTGTGAGATTCCTCACCACACCATTACTGAACCGCCCCCAAACCTTTCCGTCTCTCCAACGCAAGCGTCCGTAAAACGTTCGCCACGACGTCGGTAGACACGTTGACAGCCGTCAGATCGATAAAGACAGAATCGAGACTCGTCCTTGAAGAAAACTTGTCTCCACTGTCTCAGTGGAAACCGTCGCGGAGCATGTGCAGCGACCCAGGCTATACGACGCTGACGTCGAACAGGGGTAAGGTGTGGACCTACGTAGGGGCGACGTGCTCTTACACCAACTTCTCGTAATCGATTCCTTACAGTTTTTGAACTTATAGGACGCCCATGATTTCCACGAACATTAAGTGCACTCCCAAAGGCAGTAAGGCGCCGATTACGCACATGAGAGACGACGATATAGCGATCCTGACGTCGTGACGTTACGCGCGGACGTCCTGACCTAGGTCGATCGGCCAATCGCCAAGTTTCCCGAAGACGTCTTACAAGACGTTCTATGGTGGAAACATTAACACCAAAGTGCCTAGCAACCTGATTTTGCAGCTGTCCTTGCATTAGCAACTGAATGGCCTGACCCCTATGAACTTCTGTGAGTCGTGCCATTCTTACGAATCAAATTCTCAATTAATTTTAGGGAAGCAGTTGGTCTGTATAAAGACTAACGAAGAGTGACTTGACCAACGCTGCATGAGACCAGAACAACACGGTGCACGAGATTCTTGTTTTTTCCTTCCTCCATTTACCAGAGCTGAGCACTGTACCGTGACTAAATTTTCGATACATGACAAGGTGTAATATGACCTAATTACTCAATCCAGAAAGTTTCGCTTTATTTGGAACACGCGTTTTC